CAGTTACCAGTGTCCTCAAGATGTATGACAGTTGCTTCTTGCAGTCACTTAAGTCTAAATTTTTCAAAGGTACTAAATGGCTGGTTGATGTTCCTCTTGGTATCTACCCTTAACAGGGCAGGGCCATGCACATGATCAAGCTGCTGAACTCCAAACAATGTAGGATAGGCAAGCACATCTCAGCTGTTAGAGGACTTGACTCCTGAACAGAATTTGAAGGCCCACCTTCTTTAGAATGGCCTGGCTCTACACACTCCTTCCTGCTAAGTCCACTTTGTGTTTTGGGCTGGCCTTTCCCCACCCTCTCTGCATGCTTGAGCTCCCACATTTTAGGCAAGTGCTCCATCACTCAACTACACCTGAAGCCCTTATGCTCCCTTCCTCTGTCTTCCCTATGTTCCCTTACCCTGAGAAGTAACTGGATCTCAATTCACCTACTTTGACTACGGACTTCTCTGTAGAAGGACTTCATCATTATAAATGTAGATACACACATAGCGCTCTTTTACTTAGGATATAAGAATATATGTTTTAACCATGAGCTATGGAGAAGAATGAGTGTTTTCATCTTGGACCCAAGCCAAGAAATTTAATTACAGAAGGAGACAATGCAGCGTAGTACAGCAGAAGGAAAAACCCAAGGCAAAATTGGACTTGGCGGTAACCAGACAAATGATAGTAATCATGGCTAATATTTCTCAAGCATATTCTCTTGCCAGGCACCTTGCTAAGTGCTTTGTACCAATTATCTCATTTAATCCTTGAAATCCCATGCAGTAAATAATATTGTAATAGCCTGCCCAGCTAGCAAGTGGAGGAGGCTTTATCTGCAAGCAGACAGGGAAGTTCCAGGGTCCAGCTGTGGACCAATGGTAGAAGCTGCATCTTTCTCCCTGAACACTTCTGCTAGTAGCCAGGGTTTTAAGTCGTGGCTTGACCTTGAAGGACTGGCTACTCAGCATGCTCTTAATCTTCTCTTTAAAAAGCAGGGGTGTGGCTCCTAGAAACTCACAGGGCACGCTCTGCTAAAGGGCTGTCCTGCAGAGAGTCCACAGTTCATGGTAACAAAGATCCAGGACAATTCTCCCTTCAGCATTCACACTTGAGAGGCTGAGGCAGAAGGATTCGTGTGCATATGAATATCCAGTAAGATCCTGTCTCAAAAAGAAAAGCAATTTAAAAAAAAAATCACAAAGGATTTGATTAAGAATGACTAAGAATTAAATGAGATATTTCTAACCCCGAAAAAAGAAACTTGGAGGTCCATCCAGCAAGTGGACTACTGAGCTAGCACAGGAGGGTCTGATGACAGGAGTCACTGCTAAGTGCAACAAGATAGGCTGACATATTGATGACTCACCAACAATGCCCCATTTTCCAAAGACCACTTTATTACTTTTAAAATGGTCACTACAAAAAATAGGACTGAGCCTCCCAAGTATCTCTCATAACTGTTAAAATGTTTCCTTTCCAATAAAGGACATCTTTACAGGAAAGGTTTTGTTTGTGTGTGGTGTTGGGGTTAGAACCCACAGCCTCATGCATACTGAACGAATGCTTTACCATTGAGCTACGCCAACACCCACATCGCAGTTATCACCAATAAGACTGTTTTCTAAAAACAATTCACCATGATTAAGACTCAAAAGGAAATGAAGTAAGAATATGAAATGCTCATGAAATTATATACAAAAATACTTTGCTCCTGTTTGGGATTTCTCTGTAAACTTGCTTTCCAATCATTTATACATGAAATAATGTTTTCCTATTCTCATAGCTTTACAATGTACACAATTTCTACTTTATTTAGGTATAAACTTTCCCTCTTTTCCTTCCAGTCAGTCTGTCTCACGAATAGGTAAAGGAGAATCTTTTTTTAAGTACCAGAAAACTCTGCAGATTCTTCTCATTTGTGACTGTATTGGCTTAGCTTTATAGAGACAGAAATGTACGTGACATGTGCATAGCTATGAACACACACTATAATTCCAAAGTCACTACGTCCTATGGAGGAGGAGAAAGAAAAGTCATTTAAAAATCAACATGCCAGTGTCCTGAGAAAGTGCTATCTGCCTTTGTTTTATCCCGCATGTGAAACTCTGTGTCCTTTCACACTGAGGTATTACATCAATTCACTCCCTTATCTGAAAGCAGCTTCGGTACAGACAGCAAAGATCGGCTGAGACAAAAACTGGCCACAAATGAATGGTGAAGTTAGCCTACAGTTTATTGTTAGAATTAGTATTACAGAGAATTCCTTAAAGTAAGATCAGAAAAACCATCTTTAATACTGACGCATGAATATCAAGAACATTAAAAATATTAAATGGAAAGATAATTGCTATGGCCAGTGGCTCAGCAAGTAAAGGCTTCACAGAGGTGGTGGCCTGAGTTCAATCCTTGGGACTCACATTTTAGAAGATGAGAACTAACTCCTAGAAGCTGTCCTCTGACCTCCACACAAATAGGATGGCATGTGCAGATGTACATGTCCACACTCACAAATAAATAAATAAATGTAATCTTAAAAAGATAATGGCTAAAATGTAATTTTATGTACTCTTCTACTTCACTATATATCAGGTAAATACATTTGGTTGTAGATCTCTAGATGGCAAAACTATTAAAATATGCTTTAGATGTTTAATTGTCATTTTAAGGGAAGGCTTCTTAAGCAGGTCACAGTTTTCTATGGATGCAGCTAAGTGACCTCTTTAAGGTTGGATAAGCAACTAGACACACTTAGTGAGTGAGATGCTACACAGGTCAGACCCACTATACACAATATCTTTCTCCAGTTAAGGACTGTGGCTCCGTAGGAGAGTGCTTGCCTAACCTGTCTAAGGCCTCAGGTTCCACCCCAGCACTACAAAGAAAGAGCAGGAGAAAGATGGAAGATCTTCCTCTAGTGAGCCTTACCAAACAGTTGCACAGGGAGAAGTCTGTATGCACCCTTAAAACCCTGAGCATACATTTTCTTTAAAATAGCTGCTGCTCAGGTGAAATGCTGAGTAAGTTAAAGCACATGGTGCCGAGCCCAAGGACCTGGGTTTGATCTCTGAGCCCCACAAGGTGGAATAAAAGAAGTAACACTTGGAGATTATTCTCTGCTCTCCATATGGGTGACAAGGCACAGGTACTCATGCACACACACACACACACACACACACACACACACACACACAGAGAGAGAGAGAGAGAGAGAGAGAGAGAGAGAATGAATTCATAAAAATTCTGATGTCCCTAATATACATGAAAAGAAGGAATCTAACTGGACTACACTTTTATTTCCCTCAACAAACAGAATACTGCACATTCAGGAGGACTGATTAGTGGTCCAGAATTAGGCCAAAATTAGGTACTACAACCCTAGCCTTCCTCGTCTACAGATCTCCTGAAATTAAATGCTTGTTAAGCAACACAAGAACATCCTTGTATATGGACTTTTGAGTGCATTCTGACGTTTGAGACTGTGGAGAGAAATGTGTGTGTCATAAGGGGAAACAGGCTGCAGGTTAAAATAAATACATGCCTGCCTTCAACAGCACACAACACGTTACCAGTGATGGAGCTCATAATTACATACAGGAGCATACATCCTTGAATGTAGAAGCACGCCTCTCCTTATTATAGCAGTGCACAGAGACACGAATTTAAACAAACTCCCACGAATAGGGAAGCAGCCCATTTGGGATAACCATTCAGTCAACAGAGTGACTGGCATTTAATAAGTAGCTTGGCTTGCCTCACAGTCTCCATTATAGTACACGGGAAGGGTCTAGTTTGGGGTCTAATTAATCTGCTTGTAGGAATTCATCTTGGTGTCTCCAGTTGACAGTCAGCATAGGAAACAAATGCATGTCAACGTGTGCTTCTCAGAAACCATTATCTTCTTCTAAACCCAACAGTTGAGCTCTGCCCTCCCACCTCCAGGGCTGTCCCAGTTTGCTCTCCGCTGCCTCGCTCCACACCACACAGCCTCTCTCACATTTTAATCAAAGAAAACTATAATTAAGAGAGCAGGACTCTAATTTTGAAAAGACATTAGGCCATTCACAGTCACTTCATTACCCAGCACTTCAGAGGCCAGCAGAGAACCAGAGGGATTCTAGGTAATATCTGTTTTTCCAAAGGGAACATCACAAAGCTGCCGGCTCAAGCAGGTGTAGTGGAGCTAGGGCTGGCCCTCAGCTAAGGCTCCTTTGGTCAAATCTGCTACTTAAAACTTTTCCTGCGACCTTCAGAGGTCCTCCTGAGTCTGCTCAGGGAGCTGCTGGGGAAGCGCCTGGAGGCTCCTAAGAAGTCACCACAACAGAGGCATTCAGATAGGCAGAGGCTTCTGCCTCCTCCAGGGCCAACTCAACTGTCTATGGTCCTTGGCTCTTTCTGCCCAGGGCCACTGCCCGTCCTTCTCCCACACTGGGCACTGGACATCCTTCCAAGAGGAATCAGCAACAGCGGCACTCAATCAATAACAAATAAATAAAAACAAAGTAATTAATAAATTAAAATCACAGCCAGATTTTACTCTTAAGGGACACCATTCCAGACAACTCCACAAATGTGAGCTGGGTCCCACAGGGGTCAAGACAACGACCTCTTTCAAGGGAACCCACTTGAAGGTAATGTCACCTGGCAAATCTCACAGTTAAGGAGCCTGCGGAGATGGGGGTGAAGTGGGGTGGGGGTGGGATGGGGGATGGGGTTGTCACATCTTTTTTAAAAAAGCTTTTTGGTGCTGCTGCGGACAGGTCCCATTAAGCCCCCCCCCCCCCATCTTCTTAAGTCAAATCCCCAGTTTCTTTTTGGGCACTGATGCTGCAAGCCCACTGGCTGGGGGTGACACTCTGCAAAGTGCAGGGTCGGGGGGGGGGGGATGGAGAGGGGGCGGCGAAACAGAGGTCCCCGCAGTTGTCCAGGTGGCAGACTTCGGCGGCACCAGGGACGGTAGACCAGCAGAGCCACCTTCCCGCCACCACCCGGACGCTCCCGGCACTTACCGTCGCGGCCGTCCTCCCCCCGGCTGCAGTTGCTGCAAATGTGCTTGATCTCCTTGCCCAGTTGACAGTGGATCACAAACGACACGTTGTTATTGTTGTTGGGGGCGGGGTCCTTCGGGGGCTTCATGCTCAACAAATAAAAAGCTTTCTTTTTGGGCTTCACGGCGGCGCCCGCGCCTGGCACGACGCCCTGCCTGCAGCGCGGCTTCGAGGCGCGCGTGGGCTCCGCCATCCGCTCCCCGGGCGTCCGGGGCCGGTCTCTGATCGCCGCCCCGCGCGCTGCCACTCGCGTCCCCCGGCCGCACCCGCATGCCCCCACGCTACACCAGCGCCACGGCGGGGCGGGGCGGAGCCGGATGGCGCGCTCGAGGTCTTGACCTCACCGAGCCCGGGCGAATCCCGAGACCCCGGGGGAAGGGCTACAAGCGGAGTGCTGAACCGGCTCTTCTACCAGCAAGCTCTTCTCCTGGGCACGCTCTCCCGGGGCAGCCCCACCCCTTGGTGAATTGCAATACCAGCAGCTGCCAGCTAACAGGGTTTGTGGCTACCTTCACTCTGGAAACTTGGGGCAGGATGCCATAGCCACCACCCTCTCCAAACCTCCCGCAGCCAAATGCCAGCAAGATGTACTATGGCAGGCGGCTATCCCAGCCCTAGGGTGGAATCGAGGCCAGAACAAATTATATTCTCGGGTGGGTCCAACCACATTCCAGGACCAGACAACCTGTTAACAGCTTCTTTGATGATTTTGCATCTCGTGCAAGTCGCGGAGATGATGGGACTTCCAGGGTCCTCAGTTGCAGTCAAAGAGGAAAACCCGGTTTCCACCCATTCTCAAACAGCAGGCAACTTAGGGGTACTAGCTAATTTGACTGATTTGACTGAATGCTCTCCAGCGTCATTGCTCTGTGATTAAGGGTTAGCGAGGCCAGTGATACTATGGAGACTTGCAGAGAGCAGACCCTGGAAGATGGCAAATCCACAGCCGTATTTATTGAGTTTTGATCTGAGTGACTTTAAAAGATGTTTCAAATCCACTCACTTATTCACCACAGGACAATCCGAGACTGCTCCTAAATCATCTGTCAGTGAATAAAGGCTTTGAGAAACTACACTTCACAATCATCCAGAAAGCTTACTAAAAAAAAAAAAAAAAAAGACTTGGTTTAGTAGGTCATTGTAGAGCCTCGGGTATCTGTAGCATTTAACAAGCTCCCAAATACCCTGGGCCGTATTGATGAAGCAGTAACAGAAACAGGTGTTTGCAGCCAGGTGTGTCCAATTCCAAGTTCATGTTCACTCCATTTTGTCCCATTCCCTCTGCGTCCCAACCCTGCCCTCTTTTCCCTCTTTTCCAGCCTACCAAAACAGTGTCAAAGAATGTACAGACACTTTTAGTGTTACCAAGAACTTTCCGGATGCTAATTTGCTAATTTAAAAACAAAACAAAAACTAACCTACTCAAAAGATAGGTGCTATCTCTCCTCTAGAAAGGTTTGGCACTGAGTGTTCTTTCCTAGGTAAGAGTCAATGCAGGAGGGAAGCTAAACATCCTGTGATGTTTCTAGATATGCTAATTATGTCGCCATATCATTTCCCCCACTTCTCAGCTGTGAAGATGCAGCCCAAACCAGCACAGTCACGTTCACTTTTGTCATTGTTGAATGAGTGTCTAGCTGCCATGTCTGCCCTGGAAAGGATGTAAGGGGTAGGGCAGAGGGCAAGCATTGGAGAGGCGGTGTCTTCAGTTAGATCCCCTTTGCCTAATGCCCAAGGGGCTTTGGGAGCATCTTCCTTCTCACCTGGATCATCAGCCAAACCAGCCACAGGTAAATGTCACTGCATTTGCCCCTGTCAGATGATATCACTGAGTCCCCAGCTAATTATAACCTGTATCTGGGTGATGACAAAGATACATTTCTAATATTGTTCAGATGCCCAAATGAATGAATCTCATTATGTCATGGGCAATCATATTTTCTAATCTCTGGGCCTTGCCATCAATCCATGTCTCCTCTTAGATCTGCCAAGAAGAGAGAAACTGTTCAGAGCACATTACATCCTTTCTGAATCGTATTGTGAACATGGCCAGCCTTTCTAACTTTACTTTCTGCCCCACAGGTCATATAAGAAGACCTTTGTAAACCCCATATGACCTTATTAAAACAACTGGGCTGGAAACAATCTGTTATTTAGTCCCTGAACAGTAAGCCTGACCCAAGGCTGTGTGTCCTGGTCTTAATTGGCCAGGTATCATTGTGATTGTAGCAGAACAAGCTTGGACATAGCTGCTAGCAAAGCTTACTTATTAAAGCATGTGGCCTGAAGGTGGGGGCTCTTTATTCAAGAGAAATGTGCAAGATGCCTGTGGCTTGCCTTGGACAGTTCCTTGTTTGGTAGTCCCTCTTCCTAATTGGCCTCCTTGAGTTTGGTGCCTCTAACTGGTGGTGCCCAATGGTGCCAGCTTGTGATATGAAGCTATTTACATTTTAACAAATTAGAATTCAATGAAGTTAAAACCCAGTTTCCCAGTTGTGGCACTGGCCACAACTTAATAAGACAGTGACTACCTTTGGCCAGCAGCTGCCATATTCAACAAGGAGGCTAACAGGATGCCTCTACCCTCATGTAACTTTCCTAGAAAATGTATGAAGTCTTCCACCTGAGGCTGAAGGATGGAAGTGACATCTATTGCTACGACAGAAGTTGGGTAAAGGGACCAGAATACAACACAGTTAGTGCTGGTGTTTCTACCTGGTGGCTTCCTACACTATTTATTTCACCAAGTAGGGGGCTGATGGGAATGTGTTCCCTGTGTTTGCTCTTGACCTTGTTCAGTGCTGTGTATCTCCTCCCTGAAGCCTGCTTCTGATGTCTGTTGTTAAAACATCCTTACAGATAGCTCTTGATTCCAAGCGATGCCTTTTGCACAGCCTGTGGTTGTCTCCACCCACGGACAACTCATGCTTAATGATTAGCCTGTTCTGGCTTAACTCAATTGTTGCTCTTAGTAGTCATCCCCTCCCTTACATTGTGAAAACGGCCATCTGAAAATGGTCTATGAAAAAATACAGTAGGATTTTTTTTCTTCACCTTTAAAAGCAAGGGAGAATATGTTGAAGGGAAAGGCAGCCCTACACAGTCTATCACTCAGAACAAGACTCCTCCATACCAGGCCTAGGTGGCTTTCTTGGGATGTTTTATTTTTTATCCAGATAAACTAAATTGGAAAGAATCAGTCTTGACTTTTCTTTGGGTAACTTCTTTGGGTAACAACTTTTCCCCATCCCATCCTACACTTGATTTGAAGAGCCCATTCTTAAATTAGTTTGGTGTCCAGAGACTTTGCTACTCAAAATACAATCCCAAAGACCTGCAGATTCAGGGAGCTTGTTACAACCACAGATTCCATGCTCTGCCTCCAAATCTGCATTTTAACAAGATCTGGAAGCCACCTGGATGCATAGTAAGGCCTGCAAAGCACCCGCAGGAATCAGCCTGATAACAGCATTCATTGCCTATGGGGAGAAGGCATGCTTTAACTCAAGAGCAAAAAGGTAGGACTTCTGGTGTCACAGAGCTGGAGAAGAAGGATGAAAGGACAGACATCAGTAAGAAGAACAAAACCCTAAATGGAAACATCAGACCTGTAATCAGGGATAGCCATGGAGAACAATGTGTTCATTTCCTGAGCTGGGATCATGTGTGGAGAAATTCTGCAAAGATTTACATAGACAAGGTCGAACTTTTCCACAGAGAGGTGTCCAAGGAAGGCTGATACAACTGGGGCTGGAGAATGGTGTCAGAGGCACTGTGAAGAGAATGCAAGCTTGTCCGGGGAAGGAAGTTGTGCTGGGGCCTGGAGGTGAGGAAGGGCAGGCAGCCATCAGCCAGCCAGGTAGCAACTGGAAACTGGGCTTTCTAGATGAGTGCACAATTCTGTGGCATAACAGCGGCAGAGGCCCTTGAAATGTTGCCGAGCTAATGTGAGAAGGCCAGAGCAATCCTTTCCCCGTGGTTTAGGAACAGGGGTTGGACAGGGTTCAGGGGAGAGTTTTTGGGACTCTCTGTATTAAATTACTTTTCTTGGTGTTGTGGCGGAATTCCCAAGCAAGGCTGCTGAAAGGAGTGGGGGTGGGGGGGAGGGGTGTTTTCACTCCTGGTTGGGAAGATGTCAGTACACCATGGTTGGGAAGTCTGCTGAGAAGGGACTATACTACTGTAACTTTTCATGTAGTGGATTATGAACAGATCCTAGGTCAGAGGCAGGGGCCACCTATAACCTGCAAGGTGGGCCCTGTGGCAGTATGTAAGTCTGTCAGCTAGGCTCTCTGTCCAGTAGTTTCCATGCCCTCCTACCATCAGCTAGTAACCAAGCATTCAGCCTGTGGAGACATCTCACATCCAAGTCACAACATTTAATAAATTCCTGAACTCTTATAAAAAGTAGAAATACAACATATTAAATCCAATACCAGGCAGAGGTAGAAACATTCAGAGGGGTGTATTTTGAAAAAGTAAATTCACCACATATCCATGATGCTTAAAGAAACGTTTGAAAAATCCTTTCTTCCTTCTGTCATTGTCTGCCTTGACCTCTCTGTCCATTCTGCTCCCCTGTCCCCATTTGTATCCCCTTTCTAGTTCCTAGCCCCAATGAATGGTGGCCACCCCTTTAACTGTCTGTGTTGAAAACATAAGGATGTGATCTTAATGGATTTTTCTGATCTAACCAAAGTCCTTGAGATAAAAGTGATCATTCTAAATTACGTTGCTGGGCCCAGTAGCAAACATTCTTTTAATTTTTTTTTTTTTTTTGGTTTGTTTTTTTGAGACAGTGTTTCTCTGTCTGTGTAGCTGTATCCTGGAACTCAATCTGTAGACCAGACTGGCCTCGAACTCACAGAGATCTGCTTGCCTCTGCCTTCTGAGTGCTGGGACTAAAGGCATGCACCACCACTACCTGACCAAAAAAAAGTATTCTTATAAAAGACACACAGGAGGTGCTGGAGAGATGGCTCAGGGATTAAAGGTATCTACTGCTCTCACAGAGGATTCAGGTTTGGTTCCCAGCACATCTGATGGCTTTCAACCTCCTGTAACTCCAGATCCAGGCACTCTGTCACCCTCTTCTAGCTTCTTCGGGCACCTGCACTCAGGTGTACATAGCCACACCCATATACACTTATTAGAAAATAACAATAATCTTTTCTTTAAAAGACACATGTGCTAAGCCGTGGTGGTGCATACCTTTAATCCCAGCACTTTGGAGGCAGAGGCAGGGGGATCTCTGTGAGTTTGACACCAGCCTGGACTACAAAGCAAGTTCTAGAACAG